TGAACACAACACGTGACACACTTTCAGACGACTTTCAAAACATTGCAAACACTTTGTGTGCAATTGATTGACAACTTTTGTCTCTTTAAACACTTCCAACTCTTCCAACACTTTATCATCACATCCAATATGATGTCACTTAAGAGGTCAAGCATTTTGTTGACAATTTCAAGATATTCTAAGTCATGGCAAGTGTTGAATACATCGAGAGTCACCACAAATGAAACTCTTTTCCAACCACTGCTTCAAAAGCATTCAAATTATCACAAATTGATCTCATCTTTGAATATAAGAAACACTTCAGACATCGCTCTTAAAGCAAGGACTCTATCGACAGATACGACAATCAAATCCAAATCTGTACTCAAGAGTGAGTCTCAGCTAAAATTAGCTCAAATACTAAGCAATTGTGCGATCGATAGCTTCCCACTCGTGAGGGATGAAGACATGGACTCTTCGCAAATGAAGACTAATTATAAACAATTGTTTGAATCGATTAAGAGGTGCTCAGACCATGACTTGAATCACGTGTCGTATTACCCGAGTGTCACCACAATCCTCAGCTCAACGATGTCCGTCCAATCAGTCGTCGCTTTGGATAAGTGGAAGAAATTGAAAACCAGTCAATTGGGGGAAAAGGGCTTCAGAGACTACCAGAAGAATATACTGAGTCGCGGAAAACTACTTCATCTCAATATCAAGAACTTCTTGCAAACCAAAGACGAGTCGTGTCTCACATTAAACGAGAACATCGAGAAGTTGTGGCAAAGTTTGTCTCACGCCTTACCAGACATTCGTGACGTCCAGTTATGCGAGACTCCAGTCGCTCATCCATTCCTCTGCTATAAAGGTATAGTCGATTGTGTGGCCTATTATTCGGGAAAACTAGTGATCGTTGAATGGAAGACATCTGAGAAATTGAAACCAACTCTGAAAGACATTTATGACAATCCGCTACAAGCGGTGGCATATATGGGTGCCATTAACTTCGAGACCGACCACCACCTGCCCATCAAAGAAGTGGTTCTCGTCTATGCCTATGAAGACGGAAGTAAGTGTCAAATCCATCACTTAAATGGTGACCAATGCTTGAAATATTGGGGCCAATGGTTAGCGCGAGTGAAAGCCTATTGGGATTTGATTGCCTTTAAACAGACCATTAATTAACGTAAAATAATTTATTTGTTTGTATTCTCGAAAATTTGTATAAGAAAACCAAAACTTATGTATAATTTGTTTGTAAAATATTATGTACAATGAATACATTTTTACAATTTCTACTCCAAAGCTTTGCTCATAAAATAGCAATTAAAGCCCAAAAACTATTTTTCATACCAATTGATTGATACTTTATTTTGAAGTAATTTAAATTCATTATAACATAAGTTATATAATGATATAATGGAGTGATTTTTCTCAATCTCTACTCATTATTTGTGTCATATTTAGACTTCAAATAAGTGATTTGCAATCAATTGAATGGTAAACTTAAAACACTAAGTTAATGACACCTTGAACAATATCCAAAAAGTTGACTAAACAGCCATCATATTGTGCCGCACAGTTAGCATTGTCTTGTCGTCCATATCGAGCCGCCAATTGATATTTTGAAACCACTTTCAGTGGCTCTTCCGCTTCAGTATATGGACTGAAAATGAAAGCTTTTGTTTAGTCAAAGAATTTGATAATTAATTACTTGTGTAATGCTTCAGACTTACGGAAAAAATAGTTGTAATACGAGTCCCGTGAGTCCATACTTCTTGGGCTGATTATGTGCCTCACAAATACATCTTTTCATACACTCCTGTTAAGAAATCCAGTTATTTGAGAAAATATCCAGGACAATTTGACAATTTTCAGGCTCACCTGTGCGTCCAGTCGTGGAAAGTTGGGTAAATCGTCGACACTCTTCTCGACCCAACCCATTATAGACTCGGAAACACCGACCAAACGACTGGTCATAAAGTTAGCCAAACCTTGTTTCTCTTCATTATCCAACGACCGTCCCATCACTGACTCCGAGATATTTATGATACGTTTGGCCAAAATGTAAGGAATACTCGACGTGTCCTCAAAACTCCTTTTGCCGGACCTGTCTTCTGGAAAAACAATTGGTAGCCATAAGGCTATGCTTCCAAACACTATAATCCCCAGAACTGCCAAATTGCCTTTCAGGACAATTCATGCCAATTGTCCACAAATAGTAGTTTGAATTATAGCCAAACAGATAGAGAATGGATTAGTTTAGGAAATCTATGAAAAGAGTGGTCGACTCAGTATTCTGTATGACTTAAGGCATACCGACGTTAATAGCAGACAACGGGGTGTCATATTTAAGTCCGCGTCCATAACCGGGAACTGTTATCGTAAAGAGCGGCACATTTAAAGCAAAAGACGCGTTATAACCGGTTCGGTCCACATATAAAGAGTGCCAGAAATGTCTGAAAGGGTCCCCATCAGAACCATCACCAACAAAACCACCGGCCCTTTGCATAGATACCAAATCTTGCAAACCATTAATGCCCTTAAAATTCTTACTCTTTATATCCAATTCTTTAAGAGTTGAGACATTTTTCGTTGAATTTGAATAAGTTTTTCGCAATAAATCGGAACTGTTTTTAGACTTAAGATGACTGTCTTTTGTATAAACGGCTAAAACCGATAAAATAATCACAAGAATACTGAAGAATGATGTCTTAAAGAAAA